TCTTCTTCTTCTTCTTCTTCTTCTTCTTCTTCTTCCTCCTCCTCCTCTTCTCCTTCTTCCTCTTCTTCTTCTTCTTCTTCTTCTTCTTCTTCTTCTTCTTCTTCTTCTTCTTCTTCTTCTTCCCCACGCCGGCTGAGACCTGACCCTCCCTTATCTTCGTTGTCCATATTGGGACGTCGGCAGGCTCGTTCATTCTCCCCTCCTCCCAGTCCCCCTCCTTCTCGGTGTCGTATTGATGGTAATCTGCGGGGTTCTTTGTCTTACCGGCAGCCTGCTCTACCACGGCGTTCGTCATTTACGCGCCAACCCCGCCAGATCAGATCTGGCTTTCCAGTGGTGATCGATTCGGATCTGCGGGCAGACCTATCAAATATTTGTGGTTTGACAGCCACAAATGTCTGCTTACAGGCTTATCAGCGTCAATGTTATACTGCATCCCAATTTGTTACGATTGCTTATCAGCTTGACGCTGTTGAAAATCAGTTGTTGTATGCTCATAATAGTCCACCTCCTGAAGGCAGTAACTATACTACCTCAGGAGGCTTTACTGTAAATGTCTTACAGTTAGCGTTTCACGGATGCCACCTTCTTATGCATCATGCGACGCCAGGCGATGACCTCAATAGCCATCCTCATATTTCTGCCTGCATTTTACACAGACCCGGGCATTATATGGCACTCATTCGTGCAGCTGCCCAGTGGGAACTGTGGGATGGTGGGACGATGAGTCAGGCTATTTTTGACGTAAATGAATTTTTGGGTGCATTGTCGAATCATACTTTATTCTGGATTATTGACCGACTCTCGTGCGACACCTGTCGGGACAGAGACGCGGTGCGCCTTGGTTGTGGAATGCATCATCTATGCCATAGCCCTTACCAATCTATTGCGACTGCCGCCGTCTGTACTGAAGGGTGTCCAACATTTCCTCATTGTACACATCCCTGTCACCCAGATATACGTTGTCCCTTTTGTGCCCAAGGATGCTATCAGAACTGCATGATGCCGCACTGTGATGAACATCCTGCTGTTTTTTTGACATGTGGACAACATGTCCTCTGTCAGGACTGTTTTGATGGGATGGTTCGTGCTAGCCGTCCTGCTGAATGCTGTGCTGGCGCAGCTGTCTTTGGGTATCCTTGTGAACATCCACATCATCCTCACCGTAGCTGTCCTATCTGCCGAGGTGGGGACAGTTAAACCACTAGTACCTCCGCCAGTGTTGGGAAATTACGATGTTTTGCCAGTTCCCGACGTTATCGAGGGTGGGACACAGGGTCGGCACTGTCCCATAAATCAGATTTTTATTGCCCGCGAGTGAAAGAAAAAGGAGAAAAAGAAAATACTATCTCTACTGCAATGATGTCGGGCAGGGTAGTCTTCGAGGCCGTGCTCAGAGTCTTCCTCCACAGAATGCACCTCACCAGTAAGGCGGTCACATTCTGGATGTTACTGTTTTCTTTTTTTTCTTCCTCGAGTGTTTCTTACAAGTCCCCTGCCAATGAGGCAGGGGGGGAATCCGTGAATTGCTCAAGCCGTCCGTGATCTGCTCAAGCTGTGTTTTGTCAGAGGATTGTAACACTCGTCACATTGGTACTAAGTGGAATGTATCCAGCCATTTTCACGGTCGGATCAGTGTGCCCGTTCCCCCCCCCTTCTATTCTTTTTTTCGAATCTGACAACCTGGCCACAGGGCTGAGATGCCCTCACTGAGGGCACACTCACACTACCACTTCCAAGAATGTATACAACTGCAATCACGGCCAAAGCTTTGTTTCGTTTTTTCTTTTTTTTCTTTTTTTTTGAGTTCACGGCCGCAACTTTTCTTCTTTTTTTGTTTTCTTTGTTTTTCCCGTGAGAGTACCAGAAAGAAAACGGAGTGGTACCCAGGCTCGACAAACTCGGAGCGCAGTGAAATTCAGGGTCGGCAAAAACAGGCTCGGAGGTACTAGTGGTTTAAAGAGAAAAAAAGAAAAAAAGAAAAAAAAAAGAAAAGAAAAAGAAAAAGAAAAAGAAAAAGAAAAATAAAAAAAATAAAAAAATAAAAAAATAAAAAATAAAAAATATGTTGATCTATGGGATGTGTTATTTGCTTTGTGACAATTGGATTATCTGTGGGATGTGTCATTTGCTTTGTTTGACTGATACGCTTTCTTTCCCTGTCAGGTTTGGTTTCCTCCTTTTCTTTACCTCTTTGGCTTTTTGGCTGCGTGCAAGTGGGTCCTTGTGACACACGGGGATGGGGGCAGCCAGTGCTCAACCTGTCATCCACGTGGCTGGCCTTGTACGTAAGAGGTGATGAACAGGTGGGGCTTTCCTTCCTTCCTCTTCTCCTTTCCTTGTTTTGCTTTTTTTCGCCTTTGCGCTCTGATTCACAGTGTGACAATATATATACTATACTCTTACTAAAGAGTGCAGCGGGTCTTGCATGACGCCGCCGACTTACAGCCTTGGGAAAACGCTCGGGACAGGGGGGGGCGAGCCCGTCGCCGGTTAAATAGAAGGCGAAGATAAAAAACAATGCCATCAACCCCCTACTGCTTCTGTTGCAAACAGTCATTTTGTCAAAATGGAGACGTTTTATATGTCTATCATATTTTATACCTATATCTATATATTGTCACACTGTGAATCGGAGTGCAAAGGCAGAAAAAGACAAAACAAAAAATGGAAAGAAGTAAGGAAGGAAAGCTCCGCCTGTTCATCACCTCTTACGTACAAGGCCAGCCACGTGGATGACAAGTTGAGCGCTGGCTGCCCCCATCCCCGTGTGTCACAAGGACCATCTTGCACGCAGCCAAAAGGCAAAAAGAGGTAAAGAAAAGGAGGAGGAAACCAGACCTCACAGAGGCAAGAGAAAGAGAAAGGGATCCAGTCAAAGAAAAGACAAGGGAAGAGGAAGAGGAAGAGGAAGGCCTCTCAAACATAGCAAATGACACATCCCACAGATAAACCAATTGCCACTGTCACAACAAAGTTCAACATATTTTTTTCTTTTTTTTTGTTTTCTTTTTTCTTTTCTTCAGCAATTTGTTCTTTTTTTTTTTTCTTTTTTTCTTTTCGTTTTTTTTTCATTTTTTTTATTTCTTCTTTCTTCAAGTCCGCATCTGTTGGTAGTGTCGAAAGCTTTATCTGCCCTACAATTAGTGTTGCTCCTGACCTGCTTGATTCTATTGACCAGTCAGGAAGAGGAGCCCCCACCCCGGCAGATAAAGAGTGCAGAGGGTCTTGCGTGACACCCCCACGAAGCCCGACTTACATCCTGGAAAAACGCTCGGGACAAGGGGGGGGGGGGGGGGGGGGGAGAAACCGCCGCTACTCATGCGGCTGTCCGTTGCCCATGTTCGAATACATGTACATAGCTGGGTAGGCGCGGTGATGAAGTTGTCTTTTGAAGCCTCACCCGCTACTCTACACACGCACAAAAGACACAAAATATGGCGGTGTACCTTTCCATATTCTAGTGGAAGACTCTCTCCCTTTGCACATTGTGCTGGGCAGAAGTTCCAATCGTTTCATGTCGTTTCTTCTTTTTTTTTTGTCATTTTCTTGGCCAGTAGCAGGGTCAGGGCCTAATGGTTTCATGTCATTTCTTTTTTATATTTGGCTTTTTCTTTGCAAGTAGCAGCGCCAGGGCCTTTGCTCCACAACCCCTCCACATGCACAAAAGACAAAAAGAAAGTTTGGCGGCACTCTTTTTTTTTTTAGCTAACATTCA